GGCTCCTTCCTTCTGCCCTCCAAGGGAGGGGCCAGTTGAGGCCCAGCACCAAGGAGAGGGTGTCCTTACTAGGCCCCAAGAAACTACGCGGCCCCTCTAAAGCCCACCTAGTCATTCCCTTTCATCCCTACTCTCAGGTGGAAGGCATCTCAAGGAAAGTCCTGTTTGTAGGCACATGACTTTCCTTTGGTGGGTGCAGAGGTACCCCTCTTTCTTAAGCCAGGACAATTCGAGAGGAATCAGAACCATGTCTGCTCCTACCCGGGGCCAGGGTCTCAAGAGAGCTCAGATCTGTGTTTAAACAGCCTGTGCTGGTCTCAGTGTAAGCACAAAACCAACATTGGCAGCTTCAGGCTCAAGAGCCTGGTACTCTGCTCCCAGAGGCCTGGTTTGCCCCCCTCCCCCGCCGGGCTGTGCACCAAGCCAGAAGCAGGGCCGCTGGTCCGTGCAGTTTGTGCCCACACAGGTGGGAGAAATGCCTCGCCACCCCGGGTTCCCGGAGTGATGAAAGGGCAGCCAGTGCTCTGCCCTGTCAGCCGTTCCCCGCCTGCCACAGGCCCCCTTCTGCATTGGACTTCCAAGGCTGTGTTGTCGCAGGTAATTAAAGGGTTTTAATTAAATTAGGATCCCATCTGGCTGGGATCAGTGAGGCCCTTAACGAGGATTGTGTGTCACCAATATCAGAATGTGGATGGGGAGGTGGACATGTGGGGGCTGAATTTGGGCACTAGGGGCCTTTCAGACGGGGAGAGAATCTGCCTGAGCCCCTCGGCGGCTCCCTGCAATGCAGCAGCAAGTTGTTCCACCTCCAAAAATGGAGGCTGTGGCCTCGATGCCGGAGAGAGGGCGGAGGACCAGCTCCTTCCCATGTTATTTCTTGTCTGTGAGTCTATAAAAACCTCTGAAGTGTGGCAAGATATGTGAGCACTATCTCATTCCACAGGTGAGGGAACAAGGGCCACAGGAGTCAAGTGCTCAAACGCACCCATTGAACCCGATGGAACTAGATTTAACTGCTAGAAAGGGAGACCCAATAAGATAGAAACTTGATAGAAATGATAGAAATTTGAGGTTTCTCTCATGTAAAAGTCTGAAGGTAGGCAGCCTAGGGCTGGTGTGATATTTCTATTCCACAATTTTTTCAGGGAACAAGGTGTTTCCAGTCATTTCTTATCCTCATGGCCTAAGATGGCAGCTAGAGCTCCAGCAATCACATACATATTCCAGGCAACAGGACAGAAGATGGAACAAAGAAGAAGGGCCAAATTGTCTTAAGATTGCTGGAAGTTGCCAAATTACCCTTTTGCTACGTCACTGCCCATATCTTAGTCACATGGCCACATCTTGGCCCAAGGCAGGCAGAGAAATGTATTTATTTCAGGCAGCCATGTGCCCAGCTGAAAACTGAGGATTGCATTACTATGGAGAAAGAGGGGATGGATATTATGCCACATGCTTTAGAACCAGGACAGGAGCCCAGGTCTCCCACCTCTAGCGTGGGCCCTTTCACCTAGCACCCCAGGAGCAAGGATGAAGTTAATATCCACCCATCTCCAAAAACAAAGAGGAGGAAGCAACATTTGTTCAGCAGCTCATTCAGCTTTCCCAGCAATGCTCCAAGGGAGGTAGAGCCTAATTTTTCATATAAGGAGGCTCTGGGAGATTATGTCATTTGTCCAAGTCACACAGCTAATAAATTACAGGCTCAGGGTTGGGACCAGATATATCTTCCCACAACACTCATGGTGCCAGTTCATTGGCAGCCTCTGTGGTTCAGGAAGTGCCAGTTTGTCCCTTGGGACCATCCAGCCAGGTGGCCCTGAGATGATGAACTGGGAAACTTTGAAACAAGTCATCCTTTGCTTGGATTGTTCTCAGGTCAGGCTTTGAGCTTGGCCAGCCAACAGGAAACAGGTTTCCCTGTGGGACCAGAAGCCAGCCCCCCACTGCTGAGTGGCAGGTCCTCTGGCATTTGTGCCCTGGTGACGGCCGGCAGCGTAGCTCTAGGACGTTGGCATAATTGGCAGGTGCCGCCCCCACCTGATCTTGCCTCTGCCTGGTAGGGCTGGTGGGGCTTCTCCTCACCCATCACCCCAGCCCCCGGTTCTCCTGACAACACCATAGACTCAGAGTCTTCAGAAGTGACATCTCTGTCCCACTCCCAGCCATGACATTGGATCACTTTCTGACACAGAGCAACTGGTTCTGTGTCCCCCACAACCCCCTACACACATTCACTCGATAACCCAGTCCTTTGGTCACCCCACGACCTTCGGCTCCTCTACCCCCCACACACACCCTTCATGAGCTTCCCTACCCACCTGCTGCCTCATGCATCTCTGAGCAATGGGCCCTGCCAAGGGAGTCTGCCACATGCAAGGTCACTGGCATTCCTGCCAAGGAGGGGGAAGGGGGGGTGACTCAGTTCCTGGTTGCTCATCCCAGGAAAGGAGAGCAAGGGGGGAGGGAGGAGGCAGGAGGGAGGAGGAACCCAGGGACCCAGGGACCCAGGGACCCAGGGACCCAGGGACCCAGGGACACATTCCCTTTTGCCTTAAGCTTCATCAGGAGGAAGACTCACTTGCTGCCAGTTGACCTAAAGTGTATTCCCTCCAACTGGCCTCACAGGCTGCTGGGAAGATGCACCCATTAGAGATGGGAACGCTGGGGCCCAAACACGGCCTGTGCCAAGTCTGAAGGGCAGAGACGTCCTCCAGGTGTTCCGATGCTTAGAAAAGAACAAGCTCCCCGCCCCCATGTCCATATTGCAGTTCTTGCTCTCAGGGAAACTCCATTCTGATGAGGACAGCACAGACCCCGGCCCCGGGGGCTCCCCCGGCTGATTCAGAGATCCCACGCCTTGACCTCAAAGAGCCCCGGTCCGGTAGGCTTGTCCTAGGACGGAGGAGACAAGGACTTGCCCTGGAGCAGCCCCCGGCTAGTCTGAGCGGTTGGGGAGCAGGACCATAGGACCAGCAGCCTGGTCACTGAAGGGCAATAGTGAAGGAGGCCGAAGGGTTGCGGTTGGGGTGAGGGCAGGACCCAGAGCTTCTCCCTGGGAGAGGAGACAAGCTCCCTCCTGAGGAATCCGCTCTCCTGTGAGTGTTTGAGTGGTAAGGGGGGAGGGGTCCGTTTCAGTGACTGGGGTCCATCTCCCAGGGGGACGCCGTAGCCATTGCTCACCAAGGGGGCAGAGGTTGTCGCCTTTGTAGCCAGATGGACCCCTTACCCTTGTGAGGACCCACAGGGTGCAGGAAGTACCGTGATGGCAAGAATAGTAGGGCCCAGAGGGTGATTCCAAAAGAATTACGATTTTGGAGGAAATCTGTCAGCAGCATCCTAGCTGAGAAGAGCAGCCCGGTGACGGTGACGGGGAGGCAGAGAGGAGGCCGAGGCGGCGGAGTGTGCGTGCGGGTGCGATGAAGTTATTAAAATGAACCCACCCCCTGCGCAGGCAGGACTGCGCCAGGCAGGCCGCCCTCCAGCTGTCGGCAGCATCTGGCTCTCCACAGGAGAGGAGCCAGAGGGGGTGGGTCAGAGTGCCCCCGGTCCTGCTGACAGGTCAGCCAGGACAGACTGAGCAGGGCCCCAGGACCACCACCGCTTGCTGCTCTCCTGCTCTTGTCCTCCTGGACCCACAGGGCTGTGGGATGGGGCCCTGGCTGGTGTCCAGTGGGTGGGCATCTGCAGGCGGGACAACAAACCCAAGTCTCCTGTGGCAGAGCCAAGGGCCGTGGGCCTCTTTGAACACTACCTGCCTGTCTCCAGGGTGGGAAGGGAGAGTCACGTGGAGCAGTGAGGGAGTCTCAAGTCTCTGCCCAGGAGGGATGGTGCAGGGCAAAGAAGCTGCCATAGGAGCATAAGCTCAAGTCACGTGCCCTTTCTGGGCCACTTTCTACAAGGTGGCTTCTAAGGCCCCATCTAGCTCTGCAGTGTGAGGGGGATTAGTCCATACTGAGTGCTGCTGGGCAGGGAAGACTTGCCCAAGGTCACAGAGCAAACTACTGATGGATCTGGGACCCCCACTGGGCCCACCCAGATGGCAATCCAGGGAGGAAACAAGGAACACCTTTCTATGGCCCATCCCACCTACCAGCTCTCCCTCCACGAGCTGTTTTTGCAGATGCACCCCCCACCCCCTCATCCTGCCACCATCAGCTCCCACAGCTGTTTGAGCCCTGCAGCTCTGGTCTCCAGGAAATGTCCTGCCACCATCTGAGAAATGCCAGCAGAACTACAGGGCGCCCGGGGCCCTTTCCCCTGACAAGAATCCAATGCCCCAGGAAAGCTTTATTCCCTGCTCCAAGAACAAGATTCTGCACATAGAAGTTGACAATCAAGTGATTTCACAAGACTCCNGGGCTGGGAGAACCACGATCACCCTCTATCTCAGCTGAAGGGTGTCCCATCAGTACGTGGAAGGGTGGAAGAGCAATGGCAGGAGAGGGAATTTTGGAAAGGGGTGGCCTGGCTGGGGGCAGATGATCTATTTGTCATGACATCAGACTCCAAAGTCACCACTTCAGCCTCAAGCTGAACTCAGTCCACAGTCCAGGACAAGGGGCTCAGGGCTGCCCACTGAGAGGGACTGGAGAGTTCCTCCTGCCTCTGCCCCTGAGGGCTGGCTCTCCGGAGGCCCCATTTCAGCCATCCTTCACTACCTACTTGGTGTCTGCACTGATGAAACACCCTCTCCTTGTTGCTGTCCTGTCTCGGGATGGCAAGGAGGGAGCCAAGGTTTTAGGCTCCTCTCCGTGACCTTATTGAGGCCACACTGGTCTACCAGCCCCAGGGGCCTCCTGAACAGAGCATCTGCCTGTCACTCAGTGGGGATACCCTGTGAGGCTGCGTGGAGAACCCACTCCTCTTCCAGTGTGCCTGTGTCCTAGTCTCTGGCTCCACAACCTCGGGATGGGCCAGCACTTGGGACCCCTTCCCCAACACGTGAGACTCGGCCCTGGCCCCACTTGGCATCTCCTTCTCTCCACCCCACTCCCTGCCTGAGGCCCCTCCCCTTCCCTTCCCAGTGTCCAGACCGATGGCCTCCTGTGCAGGCAGGCCTGTCCTTCCAGCCCTGGCCTGGCCTCTGCGGCCTGCCCAGGGTCAACCAGAGGGGTAGTAGGGAGTATCACTGTGGTAGTTGTAGTCTGGGCACACCTTCTGGACCAGCCTATAGTCCGTGCTATAGAATGCAATGTAGACACAGACGACTTTGAAGGGCTGGGAGCAGCTCCAGGTGGCTGAACTCTGAGCGTGGTCTCGGGAGCAGGTCTTGGCTGGGTCATGGGTGCAGAGGGAGGTCCGGCGACCCCGTTCCACCTTCTCCCACTCCATTCGGCAGTTGAAGATTTTGGAGGCCTTGGCTTCAATGTAGATCTGCTGTTCCTGGTGGAACTCTACAGCTTTACTGGGGGGCACGAGGCTGATGGAGATATTGCCCTGGCCCGTGGCGTTGTGTCGGAAGTGGACGCTGAAGGTTCCATTCCCGTGGTCCACGATCTTCCCCGTGACAAGTAGGTTCAGGGCGACCGTCTTGATGTTGGAATAGAAGTCACCCCAGCCAAAGATTTTCTTCACCTTGGCTGAAGGTGGGGGGCTATGGTTCGGGCGGTTGGGGGGCTGCCCAAGGAACCCCCATGCCTCTCCAGGTGGAGCCAGCAGCCCTAGGAGAGTAGAGTTGGTCATGGGGCGGGACTTGGGTGAGATGTGGCCCCGCTTCCGAGGCATCCGGGGCCGGGGCTGGTTCTCATGGTCATCATGTTCAGGGTCCTCTGAGCCGGGGGGACCATCATCTTGGCCACAGATGACCTGTGAAGGGAGTTGGGATGAATGTGAGAGCCCGGTCTCCAGAGGATCCAGAAGTTCTGGTCCATTGTTCCCCACCACAGCATCATCTCTCTCCAGGTCTCCCACTGACTTGGGGCTGAGGGGTCCCTGCACACTGTCCATTTATGCTGGTGGTTGGGTGTACACTCTGGCTTGTGTCATGGTCCCATCTCATGTTCTGACACTCAGGCCACCCCCACCTCCTCTCCCCACTGTCTTATCTCTGGCCATTACTCAAAGTCTAAAAGGATGGAGGAGAATTCTCTCCGGTGGACCACAGCTCCGCAGGTACACAGCCCCTAACCCTAGGGAGTGCCCAGTCTGATGGGGGAGGCCCAGGCCCTGATCTTGGAAGAGCTGTTGCCTAATGGCAGAAGCATATCCCTGTGTTGACAGAGCCCCCAGACATAACAGAAGTAGAGTCCCTACCTCTGTGAAATCCCAGGCTGATGGGGGAAGCATAGTCTCTGCTCTCAGAGATCCCCAAGTCAGATAGATGAGCTCCATCCCTATGCTGGGAGAGCTCCTAATTTAACAGGAGAGGTACAGCCCCTGCTTTTTGGAATTTCCTAGTCTGTTGGATGAGGCACCATCCTACTCCAGGTCAATGAGAACCAACAGACAATGGAATAAGAAAATGGAGCCCAGGGACATTCTCTTTCAAGGATAAATGCAGGAGGACTAGGGGGAGACCTGGAGTGAATTTCACAATGAGGATGGCCAAAGGAGTGGAAAGCTTAACACTCCCATGGGGACCACTGATGGTGACATGCCAGGACATTACTTGCACTATGAGGTAGTTCTTATTATTCCCATTTCCCAGATGAGGACACCAGCACTCAAAGGTTACATCACTCTAAGGCTAAGTCACATAGGGTCTTAGTCACGTAGGTTAAGTCACACAGGAGAGACTATGGCCTCCTGTGCAGGCAGGCCTGTCCTGCTCCACCACACACTCCCAGCCTCACAGACCACATGTGCCCTTTAATAGAGGTTTTATCCAAGCCCCATCCCCACCCCGAATCCCCTGTCAAACTGCCAGGGCTCTGCTGGACCAGCTCTGGCAGCAGGTGACACCGGAGGAGGCTTCTTGGAAGAGCTGTATGTAGGGCTAGCAGGGCAGCCTGACCCAGCTCAAACACGGACAGCTCTGGAGGGCATCCTGGAGTAGACCAGGTTTCCTGAGGGCAGCCGCCTGATGTGTGTCTGCTCAGCATTTGACCAGAGCACTCACCCTATCCGACCGTGTTACCAGCACTAGGGGCATTAGCTCACAGCTGGGTGGCATCTGGATTTGCTGTTCCTGGGGTGATAATGGGGGATGCCTGAGGGCTGGGGTCTAGAGGGCTCCAAAGGAGTTTGGGGTCTTCATGCGCCCTATTCTGGCCCTGGTCATGCCCGAGGTTGTGCGCAGTGGCCCTGCCTGCCAGGCCCCAGGGTGGGGTAGGACAGCAGGAGGGGAGGCTCCTGGGGGCTGGACTAAGGGCTGCAGACCCGTGTGCACTTGGCCCGAGGGGTCACAGCTGAATGGGCGGGGGGTCGGGAAAGGGCCGCAGGTGGGATGTGAGAAGGGAAGGGTTCCTCCACACAGTGAGTGGCCAAGGGGATTATTGTTTTGAGGAAAGGGGCAGGTCCAGATGTGGGGCTGAGGCTTCTCCAAGGCAGGATGGGGGATGGGGCGCGGAGGGCGGGCGCTGGGTCCGAGGGGAGTTAAGCCCTAGTCTGGGGCCTGGGGTGGGGTTCCCCGGTGTCCTGGGCCCCCGGGCAGCCGCGAGCAAGAGCCTGGGCGGCGGGCTCTGGGCGACCAGCTCAGCTGCCGAGAGCGCCCGGGGCGGGAGCCGCCCGCCCAGGTCCTGTGGGGCTCGGGCTGCGCGCAGCCGGGAGAGGAGAGGAAAACAACAGGCGGGGAGGGCGGGAGCGGGAGGGAGCGGGAGCCAGGGACGCGGGGCCGACCCCGCCTGGACCTGCTCCGCGCGCTGGCGGACCCACGGCCCGGGGCCCTCTGCGTCCCCGAGATCAGGAGAAAGCCCAAGCCACCGAACCTGGCCGGACACCAGCCCCACAACCGACCCCCGTTCCCCTCGCGAGTGGCCCGGGCGCCCGGAAGGGGTCGGGTAACCCTTGGAGACCTAGCTGCGGGCCTTTTCCCACTGGCTGGTCGCACCTCCCGCCACCAGCAGCCGAATGGGTGGGCCAGCCAAGCGCCCGCTCCCCGCCCCTATTAACCCTTTCTGTGCCTTCTTCGGCCTCGGACCCGCCCTCTCCCCCAGCCCCCAGGCGTTCCCTCCATCCCGAGGATGTTGGGGGGAAGGGAGAAAGTTTCCGGGCTCGGAAGCTTCCCGCGCTCTCCCCCAGTCCTCCGAGCCCCTGCCCTCCGCGCAGCTCCCCGCGGACCGCTCACCAGATAGAGGCTGCCCTGCACTAGGAACACGAAGCAGCAGCGAGTCAGTTGCATCCTCCTTTGCTCTCGCGCCCCTTTCTCGCCTCTTTTCCTCTCCGGGTCCCAGGCCCCTGCCTCACCCCTGCTCCTCTCAGGCGCGCCGTCCCATGCTCCGGCAGCCGGCGACTCGCGGCCCTAGCTTCTGCCAGTCGCTGGGACCGACCCCGCCCCCTTCGGTCCAGCTGTGCAGCCGCCGCCCCCTTTCCCTGGCCCAGCTGAGCGCCGCGCGGCCCCCTCTCGAGGTACCAGATGTGCGCCCCGAGCGCCTCGAGGGTCCCCAGTTGCACGGTGGCTCTGCCGCTCCAGATCTGCGCTCGGCGCCCCCTTCGGTTCCAGAGGCGCCGCTCTCGCCCAGATGTGCTGGGGACCCGCGCGCGCGCCCGTCCCTAGTGCTAATTCCCCAGACCTGGCAGCCCCTGCGGCCCCGGCGTGGCGCGCCCCCTGGCGGATGCCCCTGGCCGCACCGAACCGGCCGCCGCTGCCCGCTCGGCACCCGCCAGACTGGAGCGCTCCTGGCGCCCGAGCGGCTCCGGCTCCCTCGTCCCTCCTACAAGCGGCGGCGGCAGGTACGGCGAGCTGCCCCCCCAACCCCCACCCTCTCTGAACCTCCGGAGTTAACTCCTACCCTGCCGGCCCGCAGCCCGGGGACCCAGGACAAAGGAGGCAGGACGCGGGAGCAGAGTAATTCTTGGAGAGGCACTGAGGGTGGTGGCTCGGGGTTAGGGACCCTACCTTCCTCACCCCTCTAGCAGGGCATTAGGCATCTGCTGCCCTTCCCCGCAACCCCAGGAGACCTGGAATTTGGGAAGATCATTTTTTCCAAACCTATTCTGACCCCCCCC